AGCACTCTATCCAGTGACATATTGACAAAAAAAGTGATTGGAAACTGCAGATGGTAGATCTGACTTGTTCACTGGGGGAGTGGAACGTCGGAAATTAATATTCAGTTTGCGCTTTCCTTTTCGTTTTAATACTTTTATTATTGCACATTTTACTTCAGGTATCTCTAAATTGAATTATTACATTACACAAATAATAGCATTCATTTTGAGCAATTTTGTGTATTTATGGTCCTTAATCCAATTAACTTTATTTATTATATTATTGAATTGAAGCAAAATGTTCGTGTTTAAAATTTAGGTTTACGTGCCGCTCTTCGCTCTCCGTAGTCAAGTCAATTGTGTTTATCATGATATGACAATAATATTTAAAATTGTTTCTTGACATGACACGCCAATTTACTGGCATTTAAAGGGTTTTACGGATATTGCTGTATTCACATATCTAGAAATTGTGCATTTCCGTAAGTGCAGTATCAGCGTAATAAGGGCATGTAGCTCATCGCATGATTATGTCTCTGCCTTTATGCATCTCCATATAGAGAAATTAATTTGTGCTTTTTAAAGGCAACTACAATTTAATAACAATTTTAATATTGAATTAAGTTGGGTTAACACGAATGTTTCATTATTCAGTTTAATTTCTTAAGGTAGGTTCATATCGCTGATTTATGGCTCAATTCATAGAAATACAACTAATTAAATACAAATATTACTATTTAAATTGATTTAGGAAATTTTCACCTTTACTCTGCCACACTGTTTGTTATCTACTAGTGATGATGAAAATGAACTAAAATAAGAATCTCCACAAAAAATGTTGTACACAGTCCCGCTAAATATCAAATAAACTATTAGTATTTGTCTGTATTTTCTGTATTAATTTTTTTTTTAAATCGATTACTGACTAATCGAAATAGATTAAAAAGGGGATCCGTTTAGAGAACTACTATTTAAATGTAGATACAAACATTAACGCCACTCTTAAACAAATAAGTCTGGGGGCTTAACAACGATTTAAGTACTAAGAATTTCAGCACAAAAAATGAAAGTACTGCCTTAGTACTTGTTCTGCTTATATTAAATCTTCGTCATAGAAAAATTTAATATAAGCAGAACAAGTACTAACATTGAAACCAAATTGTGACGTCAAATGTGTGTAACAAACGAAAATGTAGAGCCACGTAAAGATCTGGAAAAACAATGAATATTCTTCAATCTAACAATTAAAGTAAACTGAAGAACTTGAAGAAGGCAAATGGAATATACCAGATCAATGGCAGAGGTGACGGGTTTGACTTGAAATAAATTAAAAATTGGAATAGCTAGACACATACAGAGTATAAAAAGAAAAGTCGGTGATGAAGGTTAAACAGCATTTTCTTCACATTACATTTTATCAGATCATGAATTACACATGCAACTGCAGAGACTTCCCCAAATACAAATACAACATTAAGAGCAACAAAGTTATAGCATTTTAACATTTAAATAAACAGTTTTGTGCGCCTCACAATATTAAATCTAATCAATATAGTTCATCATAACTTGTCACATCACAATGGCGCTCGGTACGGCATTACAAATAATTAGTAAATTCAAATCTGACTCTTGGGAAGGTCGGACAAAACTAGTCAACTGCACTGTATTCACAACACTCACAGTACTGTGATTCACTAGAAATCGTTCAGTTAATATACTGCAAACGCTTGTTAGCATTCCTCAAAGGTATATAATGCAGCACCTATACTTGAATAAAGCCTTTTGAAAATGTCACTTAGAGTTTTTCTGCAAGTGAATTTAAATGGGGTACACAATTAAACGACTTTCTTAAAGTGGTAAATATAACAAAAATTTGGGAGACACCGATTGCACCAATTGGGTTGAAAATCCAACTACGGCCCTTGAACGCTATCAAAGAATTCCAAAACATTTTAATAGCTACCAACTCACACTTTATGAATTGCAATATACTGAGAGCCCTTGATGACAAACTTGTTTTTTACCTTGAGTGTAATACCGCATAACACTGGCCAAAAATACATACCCGAAATAAAAACTCTTCATGGTATTTTGACAGTTTGAGAAAGCTGTTTTTGACACAAAAAAATACAAAAAAAAGATAAACAAATGTTTGGTGGTTGCATTATCTTGAAAACGGTGCACCTCTTTTTAGAACTTCTACTTCCCAAAAAGTATTTAATTGAAGTTAAAAATATGTTTTCAGTATATATTTTAAGGTTTGAACATATATTTAACATTCATGCAACATTTTTTTGTAAACGCCATATAAGCAATTTCTAACGCAAAGGTTATCGCCTAATTGCGGTTGTCAACAACTTACTGCACACGATTTTGTATTAAGGGACAAATCCGCAAGCTCGAAATCAACAACCTATGTAACTTACAAAAAGAAGGAACGTTGAATCACTTTATGTTTGAGTGCGCTATCTACTCCTCAGTACAAAGTCAACATCTCAGTTGCTTACTTTCAGTCCTCAGAGACAACAAATCTTTAATTTTCAACTGCACTGATCCTTAACCAACTAAGGCAATATACTCATATTTAATGTAAGGAATCATTTTAATTACTTGTCCTGCAGTTTAATACATTAATTTAATATTTAATTGCAACACACCGTGCGAACGTCAAAAACCCGACCGACTTCTCATAATATATTTCTTCCTCTGTTTTAATCAAGATGGTCGCCTGTCATCATCGACTGTCAAAAACCAACGATTGGTTTGCCAGTTTGTTTCAAATAATATTGGAAATTACATTACATATATATACTAAATGGTCTTAAAATCAGAATTGAATTGAATAAATTATCAATTGTTTAAATACGATTTTTAAATTATGTATTTATAAAAAGTTTATTTTATTTTTATCAATATATAGGCTATAGCCTATAGTCATCCACAGAGTGCAGATATAATATTTTCTTATTACAATAAAAAATGTTGGTCTCTAAAACAATAAAATAATATATTATTTAAATTGTGAATATTTATAAATGACCTGATTAATAAAATTATGTTATATAATTTTAATTTTAATTTTTACAAACTTTTATTCTAAAACAAATTAATAGCTTGTTGAGGAATCAACAAAATATTAAGAACTAGGTCATAAGTAAATCGCTTGCACCTGTTGCTTAATTTTTTGGTTGACGAATCAACAAAAAATTATGAATTAGGTCATAACTTAAGCGCTCGCATCGGTTGCTTAGTAAGCAATTTCTGCGAATTAAATAATAAATTAATTTAAGTAAATATTGTACATCTTGCAATTATTATTGCATTTTACTTTGTATAAAAGACGAAATAATTTTAAATAAAATCACCAATCATATATTGTTTCCCCCCACCAGTGGTAAGGAACATATAGATTGTTACTGAACCTCATTGTTCATAGCTCACGAAAATAACCAACGAAATAATTTTTTCTGGAAGATGTTTTTTAAGAAATAATTCGATTTAGCAATTTTGAAAATCCCACCTAAACTAGACTTAATATAAAATAGATGTTGGATGGATGTTGACATCTGCGCCTAGTTGTATAAGAATAACATACCTATGTCAATAAATAGGCATAGGACATCATATATTTTGATATTATGGGACATATCAACACTAGTTAAAAATTTAATTGTCCACCATAATATATTTTGCAATATTGGTTGATTTTGGATATATAATTGTTAAGTAGTTTCCTGGTGATCACTTATGATAAAGTTAAAATACATTAAGTTGACCAGTTAGGCCATTCGAACACAATTCATTCGCTAATGCTTCAGGTCGAAAACTAATCATATTAGAGCTTTGTGTATTGTTAATTAAGGGGAGTGTTCATAAAATATTTAATAAAGTAATTGCAAACTACATAGGCGATATATGTATGTCTATTGTAACATAAAAAATAGTGTCAACGCATAACCATTAAAAAAGCTATGAATATATAACACAGTTTAAATAACTCTGAGCTCGAAAAGGCGTAAACCAATAATACAAAATTGCAACTAACACAATCCGATGGTGTTACAATTATCGAGTTTCAGTTATATAGTGTATGCAATACCTTAAAATCAAAGTAAGAAGTGGCAAATCACAAACTTTAATAGAATATATAATGAACATATAAACTTTAGTTTCACTTTTAATTTTATTGTAAGATTCATTATTAAGGCTGTAATTTTTGAGATCCATAAAGCGCGGTGCAGACTATCATACTGGTGTGTCATACGAGAGAGAAAAACATTCTGTGACACACCGGTATGATAGTCTGCACCTATCACCAACATGTTGGCGTGCTCACCAACGTGTTGTGAATGATAGTCTGTCATCCCAAACGATTCCTACGTCATACGAGAGCATTTTTACCTTACAAATTGAATTGTAATATAAATTTAATATTTTATTATTTTTATTATTTTTTATTATTTTATTATTAATGTATTTATTATTTTAATTATTATTTTTAAAATCACACTTACAATTTTTTTTAAATATTTAATTGCATTTGAATTGAAAATATATAAATTATTATAAAAAATTAATATACAACTAAATAATTAACAAATTTATAAACGATGATTATAAGTAAAATTTTTTTAAAAAAAAAACCTAAATATAAGCATCGTCAAATTTATGATCTAAGCCCAGTAATAAAAAAACGTATTGAAAATTGATCGTAATAACAATTAATTAATAACCCAAATTTGAGATAAAATACTTTGTATTCTAAATATGTTTTTCTTTGTTAAAACATGTTATTAAAATAAAAGAATCTTAAATGGTAATAACCTTTAACTAACAAAAATTGCACGCCAACATGATGGTGATAGGTGGAGACTATCATACCTGTGTGTCACACAACCTTTTTTTCTCTAGTATGACACACCAGTATGATAGTCTGCACCGCGCTTAAGAGTTCAGATTTAATTAACAGATATAAAATTTTCTTTTGGTTATAAATGTTTTTGTAGTAGGCTTAGTGTCCGTTGGAATCGGTTTCAATATTATCTGGCATAATTTCAAGTAGAACACCGTGTTAATGTTCCCTAGCTTTCATACTTCAAGAGTATTAGCTCTTATTTTATGCAAAGATATGTTGTCCTCAGCAGACACTGACCGTCATTGAATTATAGAGTCTAAAAAGCATAGAGTTGTGGTGAAATGTTTTTCCATTCTTTGGCTAAAAGACAAGTCGCATCAAGTAAATTTAATCACTCTGGTTAGTGCTCTAATCGCGATTGTTGTCATACAGTCCTACAATTACTTATTTACGAAAATTGAAAATAAAATATTAGGAATGAAAACAAGAAAAAATGTGCAAATGCTGTATTTTTCACGGTAGTCAATTTTTAAAGTTGCAATACTAAAAGTAATAAAAAAAATATTTAAGAAGTTGCAATAATCGAGATTATACTGTACTATACAATGTACAATCATTTAAGAATTTGAAAACTTAATTGAAAAAATTATTTTGCTCTTTACATTTCAGCAACGCCCAGAAAAATACTCATTAGCTTTGAATTTACTTAATTAGTATTTACCATGGACTGATCATATTAAGAGTTTTTGGACATATTATCTGCAGTGAAATGTGATTACAAATTCAGAAATCGCACATAACTCTGACTTCATCATTGCCAAATAAATAGTTTGAGAATAATTGTTTCAACCACATAACTTCAATCAATCTCTACTTTTGACTATATCTGAAACTCATTTGTGTTAATTAAACAAATCTGTAACGGATTTCTTGCCTAACTCAGTAAAAGACGCCGAACGCTCCAGATTTTATGTATGTGAATGGGTATGACTTATTATTAATATCCGTAATGTAAAATTAAAAAAATACATTTCTTACTTAAGAAATAAGTGTAATATTGTTTTCATTTGAAAGTTTTAATTTGTACAGAAAATCTTTTATTTTAACGCAAAATAAATGGCGCGCAGGAAAGCGCACGGTGCTAACTCATCCATCAAACTCCGACACAGCTTTCTGAATGGTACTTCCAAAGCGAACACTAGCAAAATCATGTGGAAAAAAATCTGTTTGCAAGATCATAAAAATGTGTTTTACTGGCAATTGTTTTTATATCCCAATGCGATGTTGAACAACTTCATCAGTAATGCTACGCGACTACCCATTACCTGCATATTAAGATGTAAGACAGCAATCAATATAACAAGCATGTATGGAAGACGAGCAGGCCAAAAACGGGAAAGACACTTACACTACCATAAGTTGTTTTTGAATACGTCGAAAATATAATACACACATCAAGCAAATAAATTAGTAGGCAACTCCCTTCTTGTAAAATGCAACAGGCAATCCGTCATGCAGGTGTGAATGATTCATTAATTCTTCGCCTTCATTACTTTCGCTGTTCTGTTCTTGACAGTATAAGATTGAAGGAGCGCGCGGAAGTACAAATAACCTCAAAGCGGAGATTGCATACCTTGAATTCTATATCCCGAAGTACAAAACTAATTTCGAGGATCGTCTTACTTAAAACACTACCCTTGGATTGCATACACTGTGAATAAACATGATTAGACGAGCTGATGTAGTAGTTCTTTTTGACTTCTTGTTTAAATGAGCTTAGGTCGGTTTTTATTTGCTGTTATAAAACTGAATGTAATAAATCGAGAGTTTTAAGCAAAAACAATGGTAATATTATATTTCATTTTTAATATAAAGTTTTATTTTCGTCCAACGTCATTAGACGAGCTGCAATCCATAATTATTGTAATTTGAATTACTTAGTTTCTCACTGAAACCGATCATCAATTATGGATTCGTGTAGGAAAGCTGTTGGCAGTTCTAAGGTTATTGTAAGTATATTTGAACATATTTGCATTTATATTTACGATTACATATAAAATTAGTCGTAGATTATACGTACACAAGAATTTTACAATTTTTAACAATGTTTTTAACTCCTTCCCAATTATAGAAATTTATTAAAAACAGTGTGACTGCTATAGTATTATTTGGGTCACTATATATATTGTGATCATTAGCCAACTAACCTCAAGTCGTACTAGACTTGTATGTTTAAACGTGTTTTTTTTTGTTAATTTGCTGTGAAAGCTGCAATTTAAAACAAAAATCAAGTACAGCTTTGGGTTAGTTGGCTTGGCTAATGAACACTGACTCTGAGCTTCAAATTTGGCAGGACAAAAATTCAATCCTCGGTACTTGCAGTCTCAAAAAATTATTTACGAATAATTAAACATAAGAAATAATTTCCAAGACGACTGATGATGTGTATTTGACAATACTTGAAACAGCTGTATGATGAACCAAAAATTTTATTAATTGAAAATAATATAAAAAAGAATTTTTGTTGTTGCACTTCACTACTTTTCGAATCCTCTATATTAAATACCACAGTTTCTATTAAACTAAAAATAGTCACTATAATCGGTTTTTCATCCACACTTTCTTCATGTACTCTTAAAAATTTCTTGAAGTTTTGTTTTCAAACAACTTTTAACAGATAACAGGAATTAGAGAAGAATTTCTTTGACTGGAATATTTACAACTGGAAGTTTATAAAATTTCCAATAAACGTTTACAATAGAACGCATATCGCGAATATATCTAATGTCGTTTAATCTAATGTACTTTGCTCATTTGGGTGGAATAATAGAAATAAAAACAATTAATACCAAGAAGTTAACTGCTTTAATTACACGAATCTTAAAAAATTTTAATAAAAAGATTTTAATATGTTAATATGCTTGCTAAAGTAGATAAGCAAGATATTGGCATCATTAGGTCTTTTCTTTTGTAAGCATAAACATATGAAACAACAACACTGCTGGCTTATTAAGTCGCAAAGAATTATTATTCATTTTCGAAACTTTAACTTTAAATTAAACACTAATCACTAAAAACTGACTAGAAACACTAAAAATTAACTAATTTAAAAAAAAAACAAAATGGGTAATAGAAATGCAATGGTAAGAATTTTTTTGTTATTGTTTTGACATATTGCTATTTGTTATTATTTTTGCTCAAATAATTTTGACGGATGATCGGAGTTCTGCAACATATTTCCAGAACATAACAATTGACTGATTTTTGAATCTGGGTGCACTTATACTTAAGACACAAAATTTTTTGCGACTAAAGCCCAGGTCTGAAGATTTTAAAAACTTCATTCAGATTATTTTCGCTTCACATGTTTTCTTTCATTAGTTGCGAGTATATTTTCAAAATTTTGAAAAAATACGGTTTAAAATAAAAAATTAAAGATCAAGTTTCACTTTAATTTTGAAATTGCTGTCCCATATACATATTTTATTAAAAGTGGGTAAAAAAGTGTTAATGGTTTGAATCAGAAATGAAAATGCAACCTTGCATAAAAACGCAGCTCAATACGGAGCAGCAGTGAACTCCAATTTGACAGCAACGGCACTTTTCTCATGCTGTAAAATACTAGCTTTACTTATACACACACTTTTTGTGTGATTTATGGTACTTCTTCTTTTTCTTTTGGAAGAAAAACTTTTGTCACATTTATCAGGATGCTATTGTGAGCAGGATAATATATAGAAAACAAATACATAATAATGTAAAGCATTTTTTTGTATTGAGATAAGAGTTTGCATGTTTTGTATAGAAAAAGGGCTGCAGCTGAAAACTTGAGGCAGATCATCAGCAGGCACCACATAGTAGTTTCATATGCGGCACCTGAATTTTTTCTAGTAAAAGAAAAAGCTGGGAAAAACGAAATGTTTTGCGTGGTCCACAGCTTTATAGTTGAAAAAAACCTGCCAAAATTTAACGTTAAAACTGAAACGATCAGATATAACAGTAGAGAAAAAAAACTTCAAATTCCAACCCTTGAGTGATTTTTTTAAATAAAAATATTAGTACATATTTTTCACAAAACAAAAAATATATAGAATTGGAAATCTGGTGCAGGTGTTATGATGTTATCACACACAATCAAATTAGCTAATGAATATGACAAGCACAATTAATTACAACAGCAAGAGCTATGTTGCTAAAGAGTAATTTTGTTACACAATTCAACACTTCAGAATCATATAGTTTCTAATTTCCAATATATTATCGTGTAATTCCAAAAAAAATAAAGAAATAAATAAGAACTTGATAAAAATAAAATTTTACAAATATATATATAATCATTTATTTTCATTACAATAAAAAATTTGGATCTAACATCATTCCTTATGGCATGCGCTAAACCAAATCTTATGAAAAAATAGAGAACAGATAGATAGATATAGAAAAGATAGAGAGCAGAGGATATAAAGCAGTAAATGTCTAACCATTTACATTGATCTAAATTAACTTCTCTCTACGATAAAACCATAGGGAGATGAATAAATCCACTACTCTTTTGAAAACCCAAACAAAAAATGAAAAGTGCCTTGAGGACCATCCATTTTTCAATGTCCAAGAAAGTAAAGGCCCTCAGATAATCCAGCTAACTACAAGGGATGCACAATCTATAAAAACTTGCTTTAAAATATGTATACTGTTCATCGTATTTCTAGGAATATTACGAACCAAGCCAAACAACCCGGCATGGCCGCCTTAATTACTTTAAATATGATATCAGACATGCTAAGAATATGATTAAAGCGTATTGATCAGTGACGATTGCTCTAAGGTGCGGAGGTGTGCGGTGAACATCCTAACATAATTTGCAAAATGTCAAATAACATAGTTATATAAATTTATTAGGTATCTTCACATCAAGAATTATTATTAATTATTACATTTCCATATACATATATATTCTAAAAGTTTTAGCAAAAACAATTAAATATAATTGTCTATGAAAACTCAATCAATTTGCTTCTGTTAGCTGCTATACTTGCTAGTTGTGCTCATATATTTGCAGCTCAAATCACAGAACATTTCTATTATATTTCGTCTCTCCCCTTTGTGTGCAAAGAAGTTGGCCGCACATTCATACGTTGCATATGAACAAAATAATGTGCGTGTGCTCCCGTTCGTAATATCAGAGATAGAGATTTATATAGTGGGAATTGTATGAGAGTAATTTTCTGTTCTATTCGAATATCAACTGCATGCATACGAATCCAACATGATGATTTGTCAAAGTGGTTGCATGAGCGGCTAAAGTTTGCAGCTCATATCACCATACATTTCTATCACATTTCGTCTCTCCCCTTTTAACAGTAGCACTCACGAATTTCTGTTCTTACTGTGCGGGGTACTTGTCCGCACATTTATACGTTGCGAGTGGGTTCGATTTAGTTTGATCACTGCGGAAACATGTATGTTTCCAAGTACAAACTCTTTTGTTTGAAAAAAGTTGGTTTGATGTTACGAGAATTATGTGAAAAGTTTTGTTTCTTCCATATTGATATAATATTAAACTTGTATATAAATTATTAATTTAATTTGTTTAATATGTCATTTTGTTAATGAAAGTTAATATAATATTGCGAATATATTGTTGCCTAATATAGTATGGTTATTATTAATAACACATCTCATATATTTTAATTTAAGTAGTACATGTAAAAAAAACATTAAAGAAGAGCCGCACACCCTTCCAGATAGGGCACGCGTCGTCACTGGTATTGATACTATGTTAAATATCTTTACTCTCATCTCTAAAATATCTTAATGCAAATAGTCATGATTTCGATCATTTCTTTCAGTCTGTAGGATCCAAATACATAACAAAAAGTGGTTGTACACTTTACTCATAAGGAAATTCAAGAACCTAAATCACTTTACTATTGGAGAATTAACTTACCGACCTTTGGACAGAAATAAGATTCCAGATATACTAAATTTTTTTATATCTACAGAAGTGTCCGAAAATGGTGTTACAATAAAATCTTACTTGGAACTCTCATTAGATCATTGCCTTATAATAGTCACAATCAACATAGATTTAAAGGATATAGAAAATAAGTTTAGACAAATTTTACACAATAAATTCTCATATTGACAAGTCATTACCGACACTTAATTGACTAACTGACTTACTTTTCATGAAAAGCAATGAAAAATAAAAGGCAACCGAAGTCATATAGTGCTCCTTTTAAAACTGAAGATGGTAGTTGCATAAGAACAAATACACTTTCTGGCTTTGTAACAGATAGAATGAGGTGAAAGCAAAGAATAAGAAAATGTTTAAATTATCTTACATATAAAAATGAATCGAAAAATGTGTTGGTAAGCGTTGGTCAATTCTTTTAATGAATCGAAAAATGTGTTGGTAAGCGCATAACTCAACAACTCATGGACCAATTTGGTCAATTCTTTTTTTAAATGTTCGTTGAAGTCCAAGGATGGTTTTTACGGCGAGCAAAAATTGAATTATTGCTATTCAATAAAGTTCATATTACAATACAAACACTCACTGTTGTCTAAGCAACATCATCAGTATTTCAAATATTTCAAACTTCAAATATAATAATTAAATACTGTCATTAATATATGAGCTGTAAATAATTTAAATACATACTAATATTTTACTGAGTTTTCTTTTTATATCGTGTTTTGTGCATGTGACAAAATTTATATTCAATATGCCTCCTGTAAGACAATGTAATTTAGGAAGAAGAACCCGAAATGCTACAAACCAAACTAATTCCCGATCTAATCATACTGCACAAGAACG